GTACAATATTATATGGGATTATATTGTTAAACTATCGTGTATAGCAACACGTCACTTCTGTAATGTCGCTGCTGGTGGTGGTGGTTAATGTTGTCGTCGTCGTGGTCGTCGTTGGTTTTGTTTTTGTAGGTGTATACGTTTATGTAGATTATATGTATGTAATAAAAACATGTTACGTCATAAACATTGACGCATAAAGTAACTTCCTGATTCAGTGTGGTGTACGTGATAATATATAGGTAGATAAAGTTTATGATACGAGTCATGCCAAGCATGTTACACAAAGTTACTAAAAAAAATGAACTAACTATATCCTATTGGTAGATATATAATAGTTTGGTATGTTTATTCTTCCTCTTGTTGGAATCTATGGCCAATCAAAACACGTGTGTTAGCTCCCGGAGGCGATGGACACGGTTGCATGCCCGAAAGTGCAAATTATATGTACAAAGAGTAAATGTGTATATATACTTGCATTTATTGCATTCCGATGTTAAAAAATATATTTATCGATATTCTGATAGAAAACAACAGTCTCAGTAAAGTTCCATTCGCTTTGTAGTAGTCTTGTACATATGTGTTTACCTTATGTACCCCTAGTACAAACAGTACCACACGGTTCGGTATCAATACATTTGGTAGAATTTCCCATTGAATTTCAATACAANGGGGGGGAGGAGGACGCGACAACAAGGAGATGGGATATCATATATAAGTACAAACTTGACATATAAAAGTTTGTTAAGGCAAAAGCTGACGTCGTCCGCAATATACAAGAAAAGCAAAAAGATTTGTTGGAACGAATGAGTAGGTACTTTAATTGTCTTGGAATAATGTAACAGACACACTTTGAATTTTGTAAGAGAATATTTAAAATGAATTCTAGACATCCGCCTCCATGGTAATAGATTAACTCCGTCAGTATTAATGGAACAATACATTAAAGTTAGAATGGTATATTTGTGAAAAATATGAAAAAATCAATATTAAACGCGGGTGCATATTACCTATATTATCACTTAATCTATACAACATTAAACTCATTCCTTTAAAAATATTTTTTTTACTAAAGTAGAAAGAATATAGTATGTTTATTTTCATTATATATATGTGTGTGTACGAATAATTAGTTTTCTTCAAAATTCAACAGAGGCAACCACTCAGAGATAAAATTATAGTGAAAGGGCTCCTTGACGCTCACAATTCTTCGAGCGGTTGGTTCCATACTATTTTGAATTCCGAAATCGTTTCTTGTTGGAGCAGAAGAGATGAATTGCATTACCTATTGTATTGTATTAATTGAAACATCAAGTTTCCCATAATGTATATTTTAAATCATTATCTAAATAAGTTGTTATACTCTTCTATCGCAGTGACCTTAACGATGTATAACAATATATACTAGCATGCATAATAATTCTATTTATCAGTTAAATGCGTACAACATATTACCTCGAGCTGACACTCTTCGGCACTGTATTGCCCAAGGGACTAGCCTGTTATAAGATCGTTGTTCCGCTGCCACCGTTAGAAAGAAAGCTTTGTTGTCGTGATCGTTATTTGTAATTCTCTGTTACGTGTTAAAACAATATACTCGATGTATTATGTATACTAGTATGTTGTTCTGATGGTTTGAGATATGATCTACAAAGCACCTGTTAGTCCTCTTGGTTATAACGAATTTAGAATTGTAATGACTTCCACCTCGCTGATTTACTCAGATCAAGTGGGATTTGTTCTTATTTATGAGAATTAGAAATAACTTCGACGAAATGGATAGGAAAAACCGGCTCCAAACGCCTGGTATTTGATAAATTTGATTTATGGTCGTTGGGTGTTTCCTTCAAGAAATGAAAAGGAAACCACTACAGTTTGCCTAATTGCATATCAAAACTAGTGATTGGACGACGAAGTTAGTGAACATAAGAATTCCAGTGACCTGAATTTACTCCAAACGAAATCACATGAAACGGACAAAGCAATTCTCATAAACAGCACAAATGACAAAGCAAATCCCCAAAACCTAAAATACAAATCTCTCTACAAAACAAATCACAAATACATACTGGCTGATCGTGTTCATGTCAGATGAAAAAAATGTATGTTCTTTCCACGTTTAAACAAGAGAGTGTGTTGATAACCCAACCCATTTAAATGATATGTTATGATTATAATATGTACTGTATTATAACACGACAACTCTTACACACAACTATACCACAGTATAAAAGCATTTTATCACAAAATCAATTTAGCCCGAGTAAGTCGTTATCAGATGCATGAGATAGTGGCCCTCATACTTTGTACATGTATGTACAAGTGTACACCCTTATGTTCGTGTATTGTCCAGTCACAGGTAAACAAGGATAGATTGGCTTGTATCAACCCGATCTGTTTACCTGTTCAGTTTTCTATCATTGAGTAACTGGAAGTCCAGGTGTGTTACAACATTTTGGGAAAACTTGCACGTAAGTTTTGAGAACATGTTAACAAGGGATTGTATTTAATGGTGATTATGATAGTGTATAATAATAATGATACAATATTTTACGGTAAATCAATTAAAAACACTTTGGATGAGTAAGTTAATATCAATATTGTTGTATACTAATAATAATACAATATTTAAGGGGGAAATACGTTTCGTATGTTTTATGATTTAGTAAACAATAATAATAAGGGATGATGATTACTATTGTTTAGTATTCGTTATGTAGCTTGTATAGACACAATGATAAAGACCAGCTGGTACAATGATAACATGTTCGGTTACTATAAGTAACTAGGCCCGATATGAGTTACCCCTCCTGGGACGTTAAGTAACTAACTAACTTTATCAACAGTCATTGGTTTGTGTTAACGCTTCGACTTAAGTTCATGACTTGTATAAATGTACAAGATAGGTTCAACTGCAGAGCTAACACTTCCGAGTAGCCTGTTTCGTCTCTGGAATAAGGTTATTCCGTCTTTGCGTATTGCAGAATTATCTTCTCTTTTGAGCAGGTATTGATTGTTACGTCATTAGTTTGTGTGAGAAAATTACGTCGTTTTCTCGAAAATTGATGACATTACTCTCAAAAACAAATGACGTAACAATAAGTACCTGCTCACAAGAGCAGATAACTCTGCAATACGAAAAGACGAAATAGCATGACATACAGTTGGCCTAATTATAATTTGTACGTTTTATCTTTTCCAATATACTTTGAGTTATGATTTTGCACATTTGTCCCCGCTCTGGTTTGTCAGTGTTGACTTACGATGTGTTATATGTTATCAGTTTCTTGCTGTTGTGTTTTCTAGTTGACCTAGCATCATAAGACAATTAACATTATACATGTAAGTTACGGTTTAGTGTTTTACATCATACATTACCCTGTTATACGCATACAAGATTAACAACTCAATTACATGTACATATACAATGTGTACTCCCAGGATTGTGAATACCGGTATAGCAATACTACATGTCGCTTTAAAATTGCATAATTTCTTATTTTATGTGTTTGAAGTATTTGAAGTAGATGAAAAGCACTGGTGTTACTTGAATGGGTTAGTACAAATTAGTATAAGTGTGTACCTGAAAGAAATCGGTCAAGTAGTTGCTGATGCTGACTGTTCACAATTTAGACAAGGAAATTGACCGTCATAACTGCATTGATAACAAATAGTAGATTTTGTCATAAAGAATACATCACGTACATTAACGAAAGTGAAAATTAGCTCCATTTTGTTTTAGTTTACACAAGAAATACTGATTTAAGAAGGAGCTATTTGAAATGGAATTAAAGAAATATCAGCAGTGTATTTAGTTTTATCTAATTACTTTATGCACAGAATACTAAAGAAATATGTAATTGTTAGGAGTATTTCATGCCGGAACAAAATAGTATATTGATTAACCCCTGGATATCGAGGATGAAGTTAGCGTAACCCCTGGATATCGAGGATGTAGCTAGCGCAACCCCTAGATATCGAGGATGAAGTTAGCGTAACCCCTGGATATCGAGGATGAAGTTAGCGTAACCCCGGGATATCGAGGATGTAGCTAGCGCAACCCCTAGATATCGAGGATGAAGTTAGCGTAACCCCTGAATATCGAGGATGAAGTTAGCGTAACCCCTGGATATCGAGGATGAAGTTAGCGTAAAACCTGGATATCGAGGATGAAGTTAGCGTAACCCCTGAATATCGAGGATGAAGTTAGCGTAACCCCGGGATATCGAGGATGTAGCTAGCGTAACCCCGGGATATCGAGGATGTAGTTAGCGTAACCCCTGGATATCGAGGATGTAGCTAGTGTAACCCCTAGATATCGAGGATGAAGTTAGCGTAAAACCTGGATATCGAGGATGAAGTTAGCGTAACCCCTGAATATCGAGGATGAAGCTAGCGTAACCCCGGGATATCGAGGATGTAGTTAGCGTAACCCCTGGATATCGAGGATGTAGCTAGCGCAACCCCTGGATATCGAGGATGAAGTTAGCGTAAAACCTGGATATCGAGGATGAAGTTAGCGTAACCCCTGAATATCGAGGATGAAGTGAGCGTAACCCCGGGATATCGAGGATGTAGCTAGCGTAACCCCTGGATATCGACGATGAAGTTAGCGTAACCCCTGGATATCGAGAATGAAGTTAGCGTAACCCCTGGATATCGAGGATGAAGCTAGCGTAACCCCTGGATATCGAGGATGAAGTTAGCGTAAAACCTGGATATCGAGGATGAAGTTAGCGTAACCCCTGGATATCGAGGATGCCCAGAACAGTGCTTGCTGAGGAGTCCTAAAAGTTATACATGCATATAGGATACGGACTGTGTATCATCAATCAAAACAAACTGTTTGTGTTCATCGCAATATTCATCAATAGTATTTCAAATATATATGTATATGTTTGTCATTATCTTTTGTTAATTAATTACTTCTGCTTTCTTCTACATATGTCTACCTATAAGTATTGATTTCAGTATCACCAATATTTGTTTTTCTATCATTTCAGTAACTAAAGAAAAGACACCAACCTTCAGTGGTACAAATGCAGAACCGATCCACTCCCAATCATGACAATTTCCGGTCACGTGAGCATCCAGTCGAGAATGACGACTGTTGTTCCGTCTGCTGTTGCTGCTGCTGTTCAATATGGTTGTATCTATTTTGTTGTCGGAGCATGAAGAGGACGTTACGAGTAAAGTTGCTATGGGGCTACATGATGATCCTCGGTCTAACAGCAGGAGTAGTGACAGGGTTGGTAATATTTGGCAGTGTTGACACGGAAATGGCTATTTCTGACATGCGTGTTATAGATCAGAAATTGTCACATATATTTTGCGATAGTGTGGACATCGAATCAGATGATTTTGAATCCTTATTTGATGCTTATTTCATGCAAGATACACCCAAAATTGATCCCGATAAACGAGAGATATATAATGAGACCTACAGCCAGTTTGTTGAGCAGAACTCTAACGTCTATAAACAGTTTTACCTATTGGCCGGATCGACGGTGAAACTTACTGGAGAGGTCGACTCGTTTATAGATCTAAACTTGATCAGTGGACAGGATAACTTCAACAAATACATTGATAATGGTATGGATTGTGTGGAGTGTGTTCTAGACGACAGCGGTCTGTTCGACCGCGGTCAAAACCACATCAAATTTGACATCCAGGAAACGGGTCTTTACTTTTTTGTATTTGTAAGTAGACTAGCCGATACGTGGATGGAACTTAGATTTAGCCTCCGTCGAACAGTGTACGACACAAGTGAAAGCCTAGTCCACTGTGACTATTCTACCTCCTGTGTGTTTGACTATGATATGACACAGACTGGAACCCCGGTTGTTATAATTCATGCTAAAAATAGTGACAAAGAACATTACGATGAAAGAACCTTCACTATAACAACTTCGTGTGTGGCGCGAAGTTGGCTATATGTTCTTATTTTCCTTGGAATACCTTCACTTCTGTCTATTGTTATAAGTGTTATAATTATCCGACGTTGTTCAGATCCACAACCGGAAGTTACGTACGTCCGCCAACGTCCACACGAGAGAACCCCGTTACTATGGGATACCGTCAGGGCTCCCGCGGTGGTAGTTCTTCCGCCAAAATACGAGGACATTGTTCGGACGGACAATGATCTGCCATCTTACGAAGAGGCGACTGCTAGCATGAGCAGTGTGGTCATCCAGTCTAGTAATCAAACTAATACATCATAACTTTGGTATAACAACGCCGACATTCTGTGATATTTAGTCAACACAATGTGATAAAATGGGATACTTTAAGTGGTGACGGTAACTCGAGATTCTCAACAGTGACACAAGGTTTACCCTTAAAAACCGACGAAAACAGGGGAAGGGTGGGCATCATATGTAATTTAGAAGGGGAGGAGTAGGGCATGATACAAAATACGGTTTGGGAGGATGGAGAGGAGGGATTGGTTTAATATAATATTAACCATACTGTTTGAGAAACGGAAGGGCAGGAATTGGAATAATACGTCATTACGTTTGAGAGGCGGGAGGGGAGCATATTGTAGTATGCATCATTCGTTTTTGGAGTTTAGAAGGGAGGGTAGGGATAGTATGCATCGGTCTGTTTGAGGGGCGTGTACGGAGGGGTTGTGATATACCACGTAATTATATTGTGAGGCGGGCGGGTGGGATACATATCATTTGGGTTGAGAGGCGGGAGCGATGGGGTATTTCTACGACATGATTGTGTTATAACCAGGTTCTTGCATATGATACCAACGACTACCTCGATATTTACAATACATTTGTATCTGTACTGTGTGCTGGTGCTGTAAATCTGATATGAGTGAATGTGCTTTCTCGCATACCATTGGTGAAGATGGTGTTATGAGCCACACTCAAACCTTACTAATGTATTCTCTATACGTGTACATCATTAGCATACGTTAATCTGGGTTGCAATTAAAAAAATAAAAAATCTTTAACTACTGTTTAGCATGCTGTCCTGTTCAAGCTTTCCATTGCCAAAGTGTCCTGCAGTGAATTGGCGATATTCCTGTGCACATTTTTCCCACAATGCTTCCCGAGACAAAAAGATTTTACATGCGTGTATGGGCATCAGCTGTGTGTTATAAACTGAACGAGCTGTCACTCTTATTAAAACTTGTTAAATAGAACATGATGTCAAACAACTGTACTCGCCTTACTAGCTCTCTCAAATAAAACTATAATTTCGCAATTAACTACAGCACTTTCAAGTCATAGCGTCACTCGAGGCGCCCCCTCGAGCACTGGAAGCTTATAAACATGGGAAAGGGACGCTTCAACTGAGGGAAAGTTTTAGGAGGAAAAGTGTTCATGTCTGAATACATTTTGCGTGCACGTCATCCTCGATATCTAGAGGTTACGCTCACTTTCGCTCTCTGCAGACGCGTGCACGTGGGATTTTAACTTTCTAACTGTACAAGCTTTTTTGTACATCATTTAGAAATGTGATTTTTGTTGCGAGGAAGTTAGATGGGATTGAATTGCCGACATCGAGAGCTTTTCAGCCTTCACGTATATAAACCATTATGAGGGATGACATTGTTAAAAACATCTTATATTACATTCTACTCGTTAGGATAGGTACCATCCTCGATATCCAGGAGTTACGCTTACTTTCGCTCTCTCGTAACCCCTGGAAATCGAGGATGGATAGGTACATACATACCTATATACTATAACATATTCCCAGGTCCCTGAAACAAACCGTTTTGGGATGAGGTGTCCGTTATCTAAGCTACTACAGAGATTACGTCACCTGATAACGATAGCCTGTTAATAATAACAGCACGAGGTGAGTAAAGATACCAACATTGTGTCTACCAGCCTCATGACCCGCAGCTGTCGAGCAAATAAATAGGCCCGTGCACGTGTCTATACCAACTTCTTGACCCCGAGACTTGGAAAAAGACGGTACATGGCGTTTGTTTCTGCTTCGATCTGATTGGCCGAAGCCACGCTCAACTAAAAATCGTCACATGGAATGCCCGTGGCGAATGATATTTTGACCTCTCTCTATGCTTATCACTCCGGGACCCGATAATTCGTTACAGCAATTATGTTTTGGCCGAAGCTGATGTTTGTAGAGTAATATTGAATGCTTTAGGGGAACATGTCCCTGTGGTCTACCCTACCCAGGGTATAGATAACCTGTATGATACCAGGTTGTCTGGTTATCGTCTTTAATGTATATCATAGCACAATTAAAGCATACCCAAGGTCAGGAAACAGAACAACAAGATGATGGAGGGTTACATTTATAAACATGTTAATATGTCACTGGACAGCTGTAACTTGTGATACATATCGAGGTCGGATTCAGACCTGTTAAAGTACCTGTCAATCAACTCGACGTTAAATCGACACTTGAGAGATTGCTAGAATAACAATGATTAGTTTGTGACATTAAATATATAGCTTTCGATTCCTCTTATATACTGAAACTTTCTAAGTGTGTGTCCGGGGAAGTTTGCGGCCATTGTTTAAAATAGATTTGACGTCAATAAAAAGGACACCAAAATGGGCTGTAGTTAAATGGAATAGTCCACATAGTAATTTAGGTCCTCAAATTTTGTATTAATGGTATTGCTAATTCAATAAATGATATTGTAAAGCCATTTGCGGATGAATTTTTCACAACACATCGATGTTGACAGTTCAAGACCAAGAGGCGACAAACTCAATACAGAATTAGGGAAAATTAACACTTGTTCAAAAAGCTACACTTGAAATTTTTTGGAAAATTGGAATCCTTTAAAAATAAAATCAATTAGACTTCTAAACAGAAACACGAACAAGTCGTTAAACCTTGTTTAAAGTAACCTTTCACAAACACGTTTACATGGTTTTGTCGGGAGATGGCAGTTGGCATGACCATGTTCATTTTATCATTAACAAGTAAATAAAAATGTTTTAGGAAGATAAAATTTACACTGGATCGCAAGTCTCTTCAGACTTTGTAATTTACATTCGTAATGTGAACTTGTGAATATCGTGATACATTATATCAGACAATAAAACAGAAACACATGTACGGTTTATTTTGAAAGCGCAACACGTATATCAATTCCGTCTTTAATAGGACGTTAAACAGAAACAAACAAACAAAATATTTGCGTATTGCAGAGTTATCTGCTCTTGTGAGCAGGTATTGATTATTTCGTCATTTGTTTGTGGCAACCTCCTCTTTCATATAAAGGATAAACTCCTACCGTCCGTGTTTTAAAGCAGTCGATAGATGTGATTGGAAATATTGCCCTGATTCCAACATAACCATGAAGCCAGTAAAGGATACGACTCTCTAAATTGAAGAACTGAAAGTAAATCAGAGCACATTACGTTTATAAAACATATTTAGAGAGGTGCTTGCAAGGAATCCAATAAAAAACGGGAAAGTGAACAGAAAAATTAAATAAAATCAAACTTTAATCAATATTACAATCACATGTATTGTGTCCTTGTCTTTGCCTTACTAATTATGAACTGAAAGTAGACGGCACAATAATTGATAACAGTCTTACTGTATAGGGTTTTGCATGTGGAGCCGTTAACTGTGGATACATACATTGTAGCTCATTCGACAGTCCAGTTAATCACCGGCTTCACTGCTACATTAACGAATAGAGTAAAGGCTGAGGCTGGTGGAGACATTATTCTGTCTCGCGTGGGCTTAAGAATCCACTTAAAAACTCGACATGTAGTTATTTTTAGGTTAATTAATGTTATTTGTATAAAGAGGGCATTTGCAACAGGATAAACACTGTATCAGCAGCTAGCATACGCGTTGTGATGTATGCTAATGTGTAACAAGGGTTTTTAGCATGCACATGTTGACACCTACCAACAGGAATTATACAATTATCAACAGGTAATATACATTTATCAACAGGTAATATACATTTATCAACAGGTAACATATATTTATCAACAGGTAACATACATTTATCAACACGGAACATACATTTACCAACAGGGAACATACATTTATCAACAGGGAACATACATTTACCAACAGGGAACATACATTTATCAACAGGTAACATATATTTATCAACACGGAACATACATTTATCAACAGGTAATATACATTTACCAACAGCTAATATACATTTATCAACAGAGAACAAACATTTATCAACAGGGAACATATATTTATCAACAGGTAACATACATTTATCATCAGGAAACATTCATTTATCAACAGGGAACATACATTTACCAACAGGGAACATATATTTATCAACACGGAACATACATTTATCAACAGAGAACAAACATTTATCAACAGGGAACGTACATTTATCAACAGGGAACATATATTTATCAACAGGGAACATACATTTATCAACAGGGAACATACACTAATCATCAGTACCGTACACATTTATCAACAGGAAACATTCATTTATCAACAGGGAACATACATTTATCAACAGGAAACATTCATTTATCAAGAGGGAACATACATTTATCAACAGGTAACATTCATTTATCAACAGGGAACATACATTTATCATCAGGAAACATTCATTTATCAAGAGGGAACATGCATTTATCAACAGGTAACATATATTTATCAACAGGTAACATACATTTATCAACAGGGAACATCCATTTATCAACAGGGAACATACTTTTATCAACAGGGAACAAACATTAATCATCAGTGCCGTATACATTTATCAACAGGAAACATACATTTATCAACAGGGAACATACCTTTATCAACAGGTAACATTCATTTATCAACAGGAAACATACATTTATCAACAGGGAACATACCTTTATCAACAGGAAACATTCATTTATCAAGAGGGAACATACATTTATCAACAGGGAACATATATTTATCAACAGGGAACATATATTTATCAACAGGGAACATACATTTATCAACATGGAACATACATTTATCAACAGGAAACATACATTTACCAACAGGGAACAAACATTAATCATCAGTACCGTATACATTTATCAACAAGAACAAACTTTAATCCACACAAAACATACATTTATCAACAGGTAACATACATTTATCAACAGGGAACATCCATTCATCAACAGGGAACATACATTTATCAACGGGGAACATACATTTATCAACAGGGAACATACCTTTATCAACAGGTAACATTCATTTATCAACAGGGAACATACATTTATCCACACGAAACATACATTTATCAACAGGTAACATATATTTATCAACAGGGAACATCCATTTATCAACAGGGAACATACATTTATCAACAGGGAACAAACATTAATCATCAGTGCGGTATACATTTATCAACAGGAAACATTCATTTATCAACAGGAAACATAAATTTATCAACAGGTAACATTCATTTATCAACAGGAAACATACATTTATCAACAGGTAACATTCATTTATCAACAGGGAACATACATTAATCATCAGTGCCGTATACATTTATCAACAAGAACAAACTTTAATCCACACGAAACATACATTTATCAACAGGTAACATACATTTATCAACAGGGAACAAACATTAATCATCAGTGCCGTATACATTTATCAACAGGAAACATTCATTTATCAGCAGGGAACATACATTTATCAACAGGTAACATTCATTTATCAACAGGGAACATACATTTATCAACAGGGAACATACATTTATCAACATGGAACATACATTTATCAACACGGAACATACATTTATCAACAGGTAATGTACATTTATTAACACGGAACATACGTTTATCAACAGGTAATATACATTTATCAACACGGAACATACATTTTTCAACAGGGAAAATACATTTATGAACAGGTAATATACATTTGTTACCGTGCTTTCTTTGTGTATAAAAATCCAATTAACACTGTTGGGTTCTTTATGTAGTTTATTCTGTACAAATACAACACATTACACATTCACTCAATTATCTCACAGAGTCTATTTACATCAAGGGACATAACTCGTACATTAGAATAGATACGTTTTTGATTTGAGCTCCATATAAGAATATCATATTTTTTTTTACAGTGTACATATCAATAATACTGAATTTACTTGTACATATCAATATATTATTGATATGGAATTACCTTATATTATTATTCAAAATATCTCATAAATATAACATGTATAAGGCATTTCAAACTTACCCCACAGATCCTGCGGGGGGTTACAGAAATTCCTTTGTCTAACAGGCGACGTATGAC